TTACCAAGGATATAGTAAACTCTTTCTTCTTTTTCTTTTTATAGGGAATTGATGTTGATGCTGAAAATTGTGCAGTGTGTATTGAGAATTTTAAAGCAAAGGATGTTGTCAGAATTCTGCCATGCAAGTAAGTATGTTCTGTTCATTCCCTGAGAGCTAGTGATGACATTGAAAAGTTACTTGTCACGTTTCAGGTTCTTGATAAGAATTCAATGTCTATAAAAATCTTAACCATTTTATTATCCCACCTTTAGAAAAGAAGCTTGGATTTTTTTTTTTTAATTGTCTTCAAGTCTTTTGTATTGTATTGCTTTAAAATTGCTTGGCGCATTATACACCTTGGTCATATACTAGATTTTAGTTTTTTGTTGCTGTTAGTACTGTCAAGTCAGTTCTGAATTATAGTGACCCTGTATAGGGTTTTCAAAGTTTGAAATCTTTGAGGGAGCAGAAAGCCTCATATTTCTACTGTGAAGTGACAGGTGGGTTTGTAGTGCTGGGATGATTGTATGATGGCACCGAGTTCCCCCTGATTATACTAAAGGTCTTCATTTAGAAACAGGAAGTTGTGGTTTCTTTTTAATAGTTGGATACTTTATTAATTGCTAACTTTTTAGAAGATTTGCTTTTGCTAGCAAGAAGGGCTTATTTTGTGTACAAAAATTATAATGTGCATTAAGTCTTTGGTCAGTTTTAATTATACTTTACACCTGTTAGAATCAAGTTACGAGATAACATATAATTATGTTTTACTGTTTGCAGAGCACTTTTGTGCATACCTAAGTACTTTGTATTAGATTTAAATTCTTGTTCTCTCTGGGAAGAATATGAAGGAATAATTTAAAATAAAGAAGTGTCCTGAATACAAGTAGCTTGCTTAAATCCACAGACATTTCTATGGAGAGGGGTGTGGGTACTTAATGAATTGGGGTCAATGGATCATATTTTTTAGAATTTCCTATAAGATCAGATCTTGTGGAAATTTATTAAAACAGAAAAGAATGTTTACTCAAGACTGGTTTAGGACAAGTCTTCCTGACTTAAGAATGGTGCTTAGACCATTCTTGAGACTAATCTCCTTTTGTTGTGAAGTGCCAGCAAGTCACTTCCTACTCATAGCAACCCTGTATTGGGTTTCTGAGAAGGGGCTGGTGGGTGTGAGTCTCCACCTTTCAGGTTCAAATCGACCTTGAGGTAGGTCTACAATGCCACACCCTTTTGTAGCACTAGCTTATAGAGCCTCATGGTTAAACAAGGTTTTGTTCTTGACCTTCATAAGCAGACCTGTGCATGTGAGTCATTCAACTTCTTTTCTGGTTCTTTTTCTTTTTCTAACTTTCTCTCTCCACCCTCCCCCACCCCCCAAATAAAACAAAGATGTTTCTGTAAATATTTTTTTCCTTTGGTTGAGTTTCAGTTTGAAGATGGAAAGGTCAAATGACAAGCTGGAGAGTAATAATAATAGCAAACAATGATTATATTATACAACTGTCAGGTAACAGAGCTAGCATTTGAACCCCATCTTATAGTCCATACTGCCTGTATTCCATACCTTCATCATGCATAGAAAACATATATTCATAACATTGGAGTCAGTAAAGAAAACAGTAAATACCTTTTTTTCTGATTCCAAAAATGCTAAGTGCTTAGTTAACATAGAAAAGTTTCAACATACAAAAATGTCTGAGTAAATAAATAGTATTTAAGATGACTTGTTAATATTTTGTTATTTTTCTATTTGAGTCATTTTTGGACCTATATAACGATTATTGTTAAGTGCCATCGAGTTGGTTCCGACTCACAGTGACCGTATATAGGGTTTCCAAGGAGCGCTGGTGGGTTTGAACCACTGACATTTCAGTTAGCAGCCCAGTGCTTTTCCTACAGTACCACACCAGGATACATATTATTTGCTATTTCTATCACATTAATTTCCAAAAGATTGTCCATTAACTTAGAAAGGCAACCTGTTGTTAGTGTTAAGTACTGTGTAGTCGGTTCCGACTCATTGTGACCCTGCACAGGGTTTCCGAGGCTGCAAATCTTTACGGGAGCAGAAAGATTGATCTTTTTCTTACAGAACAGTTGGTAGTTTCAAACTGCCAACCTTGAGGTTAGCAGCCCGATTCATAACCACTACGCTACCAGAGCTCCTTAGAAAGGCAACCTAGCCTGAAGCTAAAGTGAAGGTCATTTCTGAACATAAACTACACTATTTTTGTAGGGTAGAGGGAAAAGCTCTTTTTGAGTACCAGATTCTGTTTGACATGGAAAACAGAAATAGATCATTGATTGATAACTGATGGGAAAATTGAAATAGAATATTGATTTTATGTCAGTTAACTTGTGATGAGAATATGAGTTGACAAAATATTTTGTGTTCCTTTCTTAGATATAAAAATAACACAAGCTTAATTTCTTTAGGCATATTTTTCATAGAACGTGCATTGACCCATGGCTTTTGGATCACCGAACTTGTCCAATGTGTAAACTTGATGTCATCAAAGCCCTGGGATATTGGGTTTGTTACACTTTTGCTTATATTCAATCGGTTCTTATTGTGTGATTCAATTTTTTTATTTGCCAGAGGCGAGAGAAGTGAAGTAAAATGCTCTTTAATATCCTTGTGGGTTTATGAAGGTTTCCTCTCTATTAATAGTGAATTCTTAAGGAAGTCCAAAAAGCAAATGAACCACATTTGTGATTTTTATAGACTGTTGTGCTAGGGGTTAGGGGGTACCCCAGAGAGTTTATAATTACTTTTAGAGAAATGTATTTTGATATGCTTACACTGCAAAAGGTATATAAAATATTCATAATGGAATGGGTCTGATAGATTCTCTGGGTCAAGATCTATGTGTGTTTTATATATGAGGAAT